CGGAGGCAAAACGCATTGCTTTTCCTAAGGTTTTTGAGAGATTTTGGAGCTTCCACCTTGTCGGCTTCCCGACGCCCCAAGACGGCCCAAGAGGCCCCCAAGATCGCCCCAAGAGGGTCCAAGAGGCTCCCAAGAGGGCCCCAAGATGGCCCAAGAGGGTTCGAAGACGGCCCAGGAAGCCTCCAAGACGGTCCAAGAGGGCCCCAAGAACGCCCCCAAATGGGCCCCAGAGGGGGAACACGAAACAACATTTCGAGCCCTCGACCCTAAGAAGCCCCTACGAGGCCCCAAGAGGCCCCCACGAGGCCCTCAGGAGGCCCCCGAGAGTCCCCCAAGCGGCCCCAGGAGGCCCCCAAAATGCCCCCCCGAGCGCCCCAGGAGTCCCCCAAGCGGCCCCAGGAACCCCCAAAGCGCCGCATTGACACCAGGCCCTCGGGCAAACGGCAGACATGAGACTGCATGGGCCGGCGGAGTGAGCGAAGCGATTAAATAAAGTTCTCGAAGTCCCAGATAAAGGTCTGCTTGACGGCGTTCGCCGACGACATTGCACTGGTCTGTGCCAATATGCTGATGTATTTTCCTACTGTGCTCCGCCTGCTTGTTCGCTCAGGTTATTTCGCTGGCCTTGTCCTGAACATAAACAAGTGCATCCTGTTGATGATTAACCATAAGAACAAAAACGACATCATAAAAGTGTTCCAGGACGTCTAGGTCAACATTGCCAAAGTTAAGATTCAGAAGAGCGCCGTGCACCTAGGAGTCACTGTAGGCCACGATGCTGCACAGGACGCATGGCGTGCACCCGCCCTCAAGTTTGTGTCTCGCACTCAGGAAGTCAAAAAGCTCGGACAGAGTCTTACGCAAAGCGTCGTGGCCTACAACATGTACGCTGCGCCTGTTTGTAGTCGCGTTGCGCAGTTTCAGCCGTTCCCGAAGTTCTGCCGGGCCCAGGAGCGAGAGTGCCAGCAATCCCTCGTTCGAGCACCCCGTCATGCGTTCCCGCCTGCCGTCTTTTTCAACATGCAGTCGCTCGGCCTCGGCAAAAAATAGCGTTCGACTCTCTACTGTGTCTTGCGCTGCAATGGTTCCGGCTGCTGAACAGAGCGCAGCCTTCCATGTGATGCGAGTTTGGCTACAGAATTTGCTAGAGTCTGACGAAGCTCCGATCGCAGCCAGATATTTACACCCTATCTTCTCCGACACCGTCTTATATAACATGATGAAGCAGTATCAGATCACCTCCAGCCTCCCTAACTACCCCTCAGATGTACCCCCCAGGGGTCTCCAGCGAGCGCTCACGAAGGTCATACATAGTCAACTACCAGTCCTACACGTCGGAGAACTTATCGGTGCTAGAGTACGCTATTGGGATACATCAGTTACTCGTCCTCAACTTGATCTGATTCAATGCCGCCTCCTCCTCGTTTCATTTTTTGCTTCATTTCTGTGCTACGGCTGTGATTCGCACTGTATTCAATGCTTGGCCCACTAGCAGGCGTTTCCATCAGGCCACCTCTTACTGTCACTTCGCCTGCCAAAATCTTGCTGGTGTCCAGATTAATCACTATGTTGTGCGCCCCTTCCTCCGTCCTCTTTTGCTCGCCCATCTCCCTTTGCCCCCATCCTAGGGGACCGATGCCACGAATATCACTCTGCCGTGTTTTTTTGGGAAGCCAGGTCCAAAGACGAGATACTTGCCCATGCTGTCGCGATCGATGTAATTTACTCTGCCGTCAATGCCTCTCGTGCGAAATGTCTGCACTGTCCGAGGCGCGCTGTGCAGCACGCTCACGCTCGGCTCCGTGCAATAGCCAGGCGTAGTGGTGCCATTAATCGGCTCCTCTGGTAATTATGAAAGCCACCCAGAGTGGCAGCGGACATCTCTTGCCCCTCGACGGGCTCTTGCTTCGTCTCTTGCTCCTGGCCGCTTGCCTCTTCCTCTTCGGGTGTGGTGCTCCTCCTCCTCCTCCTCCTCCCTCTCCTTCTCCCCCTCCACTGCCTTTTCCGGGCCCGTCCTTGGCCCAGGAGCTGTGTTAGACGCTCTTCCGGCCCAACCAGGAGGGTGTGGCGTGTGCATGGCTGCTGGGTTCAGGATGGGCCTGGCCACAGGGAGCAGTGGATATGTACTATGTATAGATCTCGTCGCCTTCAAAGGTCCAGATTTCTGGAGGCCCTGTATGGAAAATCTCCAAGTATCGCATGTGTGGGATGCGCGTCCAGGTGTAACTCGTGCGCGTAGAGGGGCAAGCCGCTCGGCCCGCGGCCGCATGTGAAAAGAGCCTACGGAGCAGGAGGATAACGTCGGGGACTGGTCATGGACCGATCCAGAAGCGCCTCGCACGGCTCCAACCCACATGGCGGGCTCCCAAAAGAGCCCTCCCTCCCTGCCTTCGAGGATCGAAGGAGTTGTCATCCCTTCCGCGGCGGAAGGTCGGCGGAAGGTGGCGGCAGCAAAACGAGGCCGCCTCTGACGGCGGAAGGCGGCGGAAGCTGGCGGAAGGCGGCGGGTTCACGATTTCCGGGATACGCCGCATGGCGGGTTCCAGAAATTTTGGAGCCACAAATGTCGTCGTCCTTCGGGGGCCAGGTATATTAGGAAGCGCATCAAGGATGTTTTTAATTGGCTCGATGGCATCATGATCGTCAGCGATATCCTATGCGTCTTCAAACTCAGGATATTCATGGCCAGCATCTGTCGCACAGAGGAGGCCCATGCCAAGGAACGCCTTGCTTGCCTCCAGGGTGCCCTGGGTTTCTTGGGCTTCGGTAGCTTGCTGTGGAAGGCGCGACGCTTCCACACCCAAGCATCGACGGACGTCCTGGGGTCTCAGGGTTGGGTTTCTTGTGGAAGGTTTCTTGTGGTCGGGCCCCCACTGTATTTTCGGTCTCCCGGGGCCCTGACTGGGTTCCGGGACTGTCCAAAAACGATTCAGGATGAGAAACTGGTCTTCGGGAGTGGGTTCAGACCTTGCGGGGTCGACTTTGTGCAACAATTACGACGTCGAGGTGTCTGGCGAGCTTTTTCTTTGTGTGTGTGCGTGCGTGTGTGTGTGTGTGTGTGTGTGTGTGTGTGTGTGTGTGTGTGTGTGTGTGTGTGTCTGTCTGTCTGTCTGTCTGTCTGTCTGTCTGTCTGTCTGTCTGTCTGTCTGTCTGTCTGTCTGTCTGTCTGTCTGTCTGTCTGTCTGTCTGTCTGTGTGTGTGTGTGTGACACCCCGTTCGGCTCCGACGGCAGATCCTACATCGCCTGCGTCGCATTGAAAGGGCCTTCGGTAGGGCCCCAGGGACAGCCCGTGGAGAGCTCCCAGAAGGGCCCCGCAGGAGAGCCCCAAAAGACTGCCCAAGAGAGGGGTGATGCGGCCCCCCTATAAGGGGGGCCCCGCAGAGCCGCAGGGCGCGCAAAGACGACCCAAGTCAAGCAGTGGTGAAGCGTCCCGGCTCGCCCATAGGCCCACCAAAGAGTGTTCTAATAACTTGTGGTTTGCACGGCATGTTTTTGGAACATTACCGGTTGGGTCCATCTTGTGTTAACACATCGTGTTTCTGTTCTAAGAACCTTGCTTTGTGGTTATTCGAGCATTTCTGGGTTCGAAGAACAAGTCGTGCCGGGACGGTCGGCCCCTGCTCAACCAAGGGGTCCACAATACCGCCCCAGTGGCCTCAAGTCGGGGCCTGTCCCTCGACAGGAGGAATATTCTAGAAAACAACAGTCAAACGAAATAGTCTGGAAACAATTTTCTGAGATTTTCTTGGACAGTGTTGGAGAATGTTTGGACTAGTTGCTTTAACATGTTTTCCTCCAAAATCCGCCTGTAGGGGGACATGCCCGATCTAACAGCCCCGCAACACCCGCAGGAGGTCCCGAAGAGCCCCCCCCAAGACCCCCGAGACGCCCCTCAAGGAGTCCCCAGGCAGCCTTCGAGCACTCCAGGAGTGGGCCCAAGGGAGTCCCTGCGTCCCAAGCCAGACCACTCCAGTTCGAAAATTTCCCCATACAGGCCCTGGACAGTTCGAATGCCCCCAACGAGTGCGACCCGCGCGCTGAAGTGTAGCGCCCCAAAGGGTTCGCGTGGCTCGAGCGGGACTACATTGGGGACGCGCATCAAGAAATCGGGCGCCCTTCGTGAGGGCAGCCTGGTTTTTTTCGCTCCACGCGCTGCGCGGTGACTATCGCGGTCTTCGAAGACGCTGCTGTGTTCGGGGTTCTCTGGCTCCCCCCCCAGCATCGCACCTCGTGCGCGGATGTTCCGGGCTGGGTCTCTTGCGAGGGTTACGTGCGGCCGCGTCCGCACTGTAGGGATTCTTCACTTGTGTACTCCAGATGGCTCCAAGGGCGCCTCGGAGAAGTCTCAGACGCCCTGACAGGCCCGGGCACCGTGCGGTTCTGTGGAGGGCTCTTCGGAGGAGACTGGAGGCCAATCGCGCGCATGATTCTCGCGATAAGCGTAGACGAACACCCGAGAGAGACTCTGGGACAATTCTTGGCGCCAGCCTGCGGCATGCTGGGGCCATTAAGGAGGCCACACTGGGCAGTCAATTCGGCTCTCTTGGTTCACGGTGGGCCACCTTGGGGCCGTGCTGGGTTGTTCTGGTGGTTCCACGGCCCCCTGTGGGTTGCGTAGGTTCTTTGACGAGGTCGTCCCCCCCAGCCCCCCCCTTGCACCTAGGCCTCCGAGATGGGGTCCGAGTAGACGAGGTCGGAGGATCGCACCGCATCGCCGATGTATCGACTATGCGGCTCGATGTGGAGACCGTGTTTCCCCACGCCGACGGCGCTGATGCGTCGCAGACGTTGTTGATGCATCGCCGATGCATCGGTCATGCATCGGCGATGCGTTGGCGATGCGGTGCGATCTCCGACCCCATCTATTCGGACCCCATCTAGGAGGCCTCTATTGCATCGCCCCTCAGACGGGAGTTCGAATCCCGCAGCGTGGGGCGCAGCGAGACGGGAACAGCCACGTGCCTCACACGCCTTGTCATCCCTGGCAGGCGAGGGCCAGCGGCTTGTGCACGCGAGTCATGGCCTCAACAAGTTCATGCTCGAGCTGATGGACACCGTCGACGCCGAAGGGGACGAGGATGTGGAGATGTCCGCTGATGGGAACTCCTTTGTACAGGCCCCTAGTAGGCCCTGGAAATGACAGGTCTGTTTTTGTTCTCGCTTCTGTTTTGCTTTTTTTGCTGGTTCCGACGCTGTTTTTGTTACCGGTTCCGTCGCTTTTGTTACTGGTTCCGGCTCCGGTTCCAATCCTGGAGCAGTTGTTTTGCCGTTTCTGGTCGCTTTCTTGTTGCTGTTTCCGGGGCCCGCTTAAAAGTGCAGGCCCACGAGCTTGGAGACTTGGTGGCGCCGTCGGGGCGCAGGGCATTCGAGGTGGCCCGCTGGTCTGCAGAGCGAGGCGCCTTCCTGCAGGTGGCAGCCGGCAACGGCACCCTGGCCTCCATCGGCAGCGCCGCCTGGAAGGTTGCCAAGCAGATCCCTGGAGCGATCTACAACTACGGGATGAAGCCCGTGTGGAAGTACGTGATGAATCCCCTCGCGAAGTGGGGCCTCTCGATCTCCAAGTGGGTCCTGGAGCACCCCCGCGCCGCCCTCTTCATCTCCAAGATCGCCCTGCAGGTCCGCGACCGCATGTGCGAGAAGACGTCCGCCTTCGTCTACGGCCAGCCCGAGACGCACGCCGTGGGGGCTTTCTCGAAGGTGTCCGAGAAGGTGGATGATTTCAGGGAGTACATGTCGTCGACCTTCTCCCCGGCCGTCCTGCTCCTAGTCGTTCTTAGAAGCACGAGGGGCGTTTCTGTTCCCCGTGCTGTTGTCCACCTCCTCGCGCTCGACTCGACCACATCGTGCAAAGAGCGTCGGCCCCAGAAAGTGTTAAGTCGGGCGCGTCCCTCTACAGGGGGAATACTCCGAAATAGTAAAAAAGTGGTCTGGGGACGATTGTTTGACTATTCTTGATTTGTTGGGGGGCATGTTGTAAGTGTTTTCTATTTGTCTTCAACATCTGCCTGTAGGGGGTCGCGCCCGACCTAAAGAACGTGGGCGTCAGGCAGGCGGCGCCAGCTGTGGTGTGTCTGAAGAGAGAGAGAGAGAGAGAGAGAGAGAGAGAAAGAGAGAGAGAGAGAGAGAGAGAGAGAGAGACGCGGCGCCACAAGCGCCGAGCATCGGGCAGGCGGGGGGCACGGGCCAGCGCGCTCCGGACCTCCGGCACGCAGCGAGAACGGCGCCCAGACACTCCAGACACGTCCATCTGCTCAAGCAGTGGCGAAGCGTCCTGGCTCGCCTGTAGACCTACCAAACAATGTTCTAAGAACCTATTGTGGTTCCCACGACATGTTCTTAGAACACTTCTGGGTGAGATTGTCTTGTTTCAACACATCGGGTTTATGGTATAAGAACCTTGTTTTTGTGTTTAGAACATTTTTGGGTTCTAACAACAATTCGTGGTAGGACTACAAGAATGCCGGGACGGTCGGTCCCTGCTCAAAGACACTCCAGACACGTCCATCTGCAAGGTAGAGAAAACCCAACTTCTTCTAGGGGAACAAACCATGACTCGGAGGAGGAAAAGGTACCCATACCTCTACCCTTCCCTATTTTTTCACTTTTTGGGCTTCCTGGGTGGCCTCGAAATCCTGGTCAGAACGCACCCCGGTATTGGTTCAGAGAGAGCCCCGAATCATCAGGGGTGACTCGGGTCAGGGCTAACTCGGGTTCGTTTCTCGGGAATCCGAGCCCGAGTTGCCCCAGGGCCGAGTGACCCCGGATAGTTCCGGCGTCCAGAGCCCCACATCATCAGGGGTAACTCGGGTCGGGGCTAACTCGGGTTCGTTTTTCGGGAATCCGAGCCCGAGTTGCCCCGAGCCCGAGTGGCCCAGGATAACTCGGGCGTCCAGAGCCCCGAGTCATCAGGGGTAACTTGGGTCAGGGCTAACTCGGGTTCGTTTCTCGGGAATCCGAGCCCGAGTTGCCCCAGGCCCGAGTGGCCCAGGATAACTCGGGCGTCCAGAGCCCCGAGTCATCAGGGGTAACTTGGGTCAGGGCTAACTCGGGTTCGTTTTTCGGGAATCCGAGCCCGAGTTGCCCCGGGCCCGAGTGACCCTGGATCGTTCGGGCGTCCAGAGCCCCGAGTCATCAGGGGTAACTCGGGTCAGGGCTAACTCGGGTTAGTTTTTCGGGAATCCGAGCCCGAGTTGCCCCAGGCCCGAGTGACCCCAGATAGTTCGGGCGTCGAGAGCCCCGAATCATCAGGGGTAACTCGGGTCAGGGCTAACTCGGGTTCGTTTCTCGGGAATCCGAGCCCGAGTTGCCCCAGGGCCGAGTGACCCCGGATAGTTCGGGCGTCCAGAGCCCCGCATCATCAGGGGTATAATTCGGATCTCGGGTCAGGGCTAACTCGGGGTCGTTTTTCGGGAATCCGAGCCCGAGTTGCCCCAGGCCCGAGCGACCCCGGATAACTCGGGCGCCCAGAGCCCCGAATCATCAGGGGTAACTCGGGTCAGGGCTAACTCGGGTTAGTTTTTTGGGAATCCGAGCCCGAGTTCCCCCGGACCCGAGTTATACCCTGGATAACTAGGGCGCCCAAGAGAATAAACACGTTATCCTAGGGGAACAAACCATGAGACGGAGGTCCGCTGGGACCCCCTGGCGGCGCCTCCGGCGCCCCCCCTTGCGCGCTCCGCGCGCAATGGAGGGAGGTCCAGCGCCGATCCGAGAAATCCGCGCGGACCTCCGAGTTTTTCTGCTCGTGCCATGTTGCCTGCTCCCCACGCAGACCGGCTGGGGCTGCTGGAAGCAGAGCGAAGAGCTCTGCGCACGCCTTGCACGCCCCGCATGCCGCGGCCGCCGGGCCCAGAGCAAGCCGGTGCTCCCCGGGTGTCCCGCCTCGTGCTTTCGACGGAGGCCGAGTGCCTGCCGCGGCCGCCGGGAGCGAGGTGTGCCGGTGCTCCGCTGGGTACCCCGCCTCGCCGCCTCGTGTCTATGGGCGGGCATCGCTCGAAGCCACACAAGATTCAGAGCGTCTGAGGTCCTGCTCACCGGGCTGCAGAAGGCGCTGGAGAGCAGCGGCTTCATGGGGAGGCTCAACATCATGTAAGCAGCTCTCCCCCATTCCTACTGGGCCACGGTGTGTCAGCCAGCCCACCCTCCTATGTGGGGGTGGGCCCCGCGAAACGCGAGGGAGCGGGCGTGCATCCCCACCCAGATGAGTCAGTTCGGGAGCAGCTCCTGGGAGGTCTCGTTCGGCAGCGGCGCTGGCAGATCCGTGCTCGACAGCCAGCGTCATCTGGCCTACTCCCGCTCACGGTGCCGCTCGGTTATGCTCGGTCCGGCTCGATCCGGCCTGCTCGGGAGGGCTCCCGAGCCCCCTCCGCTCCGACCTGGCACAGCGGCCCTTCCGTCGGGCTTGCGTGCCTCGGCTCGCTCCGACGAAGGCCTCCCGGTGGTGCGCTGGAAGGCTGCGCCTCTCCCGCGTGCCGGGAGGCTGCGCCCCTCGCGCCCCCCGCTGGCACCACGGCGAGCGGCTCGTGGGCGAACGGGTCCACGTCCCGAACGGGCCGGGCATAGCCAGGGCCCCAGGCAAGGGGGCCCGGTTAGGAGCGGGGCCCCGGAGCCCCTAGATTGGCCAGAGTTCTCGGGAGCCTTGAGGCGGGGGTCGATGCAAACGGGGTCGGCCAGAGCGCCGAATCTTGCAGGATCCTGCAGGGCCAGGGTCGCATTGACCCGGGCTTGGGCTCAGGATCCCGCAGGATCTTGCAGGATCCTTCGCATAGACCCGGGTTTGGGTGCAGGATCTTGAAGGATCTTGCAGGATTCTGCAAGGCCTGACTGACCTGGGTCTGGATTGACCCGGGTCAGAAGATCCCCGAAGAGTCACTAGACCAGGTCTGCCGTAGCTGGTGTTTTTTCGGGTAATGGCAGTTCCGGTTAGTGGAACGGGGCGGGGGGGCGTCTCCCAGTACACATTACTAAACCAGGTCCCATTGAACCCAGTTCTGCCAACGCCTGAACGGGGTGTGCCCGAACGCGTTTTTTGTCGTAGATTGGCGCTGGTTTCGCCAGTGGATGTAGCGATCTTCAGAGGGAGATGTTCGCGTGGCGTGACGTGCGTGCGGTCTGGATAGCATGTGCGTTGTTCGTGGTGCAGTGTTGCATGCTGCCGTGGTGCCACACCACACCCACGGCGGGGTTTTGGGCGGCACCGCAGCACCAGTCCACACCCACAGGTGGGGAGGGGGGGGGGGCATCGGGCGGGGGGGGGCCCGACCCCAGCAGCATCGGGTGGGGCTGGCCCAGGCCCTGGAACGTGCACACTCGCCAGTCGTCGAAAGCAGGTCTATTTCTGGGCTCCCGGGCCCCCATCTGCTGTGGAGCGTCTCCTTACCTCACTCCAAGAGAGAGAGGATACAGATCCCAATCTGCTTTTAAGGCGCCTTCTTGCCTCCAGAGAGGATCTTGCATGCCCTTGCTGTGCTTTGCCCCCCTCCTCCACCTCCTCCTCCTCCTCCTCCACCTCCACCTCGTTCTCCTCCACCTCCTCCTCCTCGTTTTCCCCCTCCTCCTTCTCCTCCTCCTGCTCCTCCTCATCCTCCTCCTCCTCCGCATCTTCCTCCTCCTCCTCCTCCTTCCCCTCCTTCCCTGGGAGGGACCGAGCCCAACCTGCCTTACCCGCCTCACCACTTTGTGCTTTTACGCGCTTCCTCCGACCGGCGCGTGTGCCTCTCTGGCCGGGGATGGGTGGGCAAGTTCTGACGAGGGCCCCAGGCCGCGCAAGAGGAGGAGGAGGGAGGAGGAGGGAGGAGGAGGAGGAGGAGGAGGAGGGAGGAGGAGGGAGGAGGAGGAGGAGGAGGAGGAGGAGGAGGAGGAGGATGAGGAGGAGGAGGAATGAGGAGGAGGAGGAGGAGGAGGAGGAGGAGGGAGGGAGGGAGGAGGAGGGAGGAGGGAGGGAAGAGGAGGGAGGAGGAGGACGAGGAGGGAGGAAAAGGACGAGGAGAGGAGGAGGAGGAGGAAAAGAAGAGGAAAGAGGAAGGAGGAGGAGAGGAGGAGGAGGAGGAGGAGGAGGAGGAGGAGGAAAAGGAGGAAAAGGAGGAGGAGGAGGAAGGAGAAAAGGAGGAAAGGAGGAGGAGAAGGAGGAGGAGGAAGGATGAGGAGGGAGGAGAGGAGGGAGGAGGAGGAGGAGGAGGAGGGAGGGGAGGGGAGGAGAGGGAGGGGGAGGGGAGGAGGAGGGAAGGAGGGAAAGGAGGAGAGGAGGAAGAGGAGGAGGAGGGAGGAAAAGGAGGAAGGAGAGGAGGGGATAGGGAGGAGGAGGAGGAGGATACGGAGGTGGGATGGGGATCGGTTGGACGATGCTCGGAGGCTGCGGTCGCTGGGCAGCGCGGCCTTCGGGCCCATCATGGCCTGGGCCGGGCTCGCCACGGGCGGCGCCGCGGCGGCACTCATCGGGGGCCTGGCCTCCATGATGGCCGACGCGGCCATCGATGCCAGCAAGATGGCGCTGGAGCTCAGCGTCGGCCAAAGAGCATATCCCCAGACCTCCTCGAGCCATGAACAAATCATTACGGGAGGTTTCTCCCTGTGTTCGGCCTCTGGAGGCCCTCACTGGGCCTCGGGACCGGCAACAAAAACGACTCGGGACGAAAAGCCGGTCCATGGGAATGGGTCCAGACCGCCGGGGGTCGACGTTACTCAGGAGGGGAAAAACAAAACAGACACAATGAATCGTCGATTCCCCAGAAAATATGCGAAAATACAGGAAGTGGGGGGGAAGACGACAATCAAACAAAAATATGGAAAAATATGGGGAATCTGGTTATTTGTGTCTATTTATTTGTGTGTCCCTGGACCCCTTGAGTTCAAAACCGTGACTTTGGAGGTCTGGGAAGAGCACGTCCGTGTCCGCCGCCTCGCGGGAGCAGGCGCCTAGGCCGCGGGCCCGCGGGTACGGGGCGTGCTTCCGCAGCTGCTCCGCGCGGAACGTGTGCGTGCGACCGCGCAGCCGCGGGACCGAGCCCCAGAGTCCAGACCGCGAGGGCGCGGATACGGATACGTTCGCCGCTCGTGAAGTCAGAGGGGAAAAATGCATTTCCAGCGAAGAGAACTATGCACATGCACCGATCCTGACAACGTCCATCCTTGACCCAGGATCGGTGCATATACCTTCCTGGCCAAGGTAAGAGGGCGTATGCACCGATCCTGGGCTCAGGATGGGCCTGGCCAGAGGCGGTGTATGTGCATAGTTCTCTTTCCTCTATAGCATTGACACCCTGACATGCTCGCGTTGTGAACACAAAAGAACACGACGGGAGGCTACTGGAAGTTTCTTCTGGTCTCCGGGGCCCCTTGCTGGGCCCCCAGAACTCTTGCAAAAGCAGCTCGGGGTGAGGAACCGGACCGGTCCTGGTGGGAACGGGTCGGGACTTCCTGGCCCCCCCTTTTTTGTTTTCCTCCCAGAAGCAAGACATCGCATCTCTTGGACCCGCTACCCCTGCCTCGTTGTTGGATGCTTGGGCCTCCTGGGAGGCCCTCGTCGCCACGGCTGGGCTCGCCCCGAAAGATGTTGGCCATGGCGCACCCCCGCCGTGAGGCCGGGGAACAGCGGCGCGGCGCCTCTCTACGCTGCCCCAGGAGTTCATGGTGTACCAGGAGATAGCCAAGGAGGCTGGAGGGAGAAACCCCGACATACTCTGGGTTTCTTAATCAGCGTGGGGGGGTACCCCCCGACGGGGGTCAACCTCGCCTCGTCGTCGCGTCGCGATGGGGGTCGGAGCGCCCTTGGCGCGCGGTGGCTGCCCGCGACGGGGGTCGAAGAGGGGCTGTCGGTGGGGGTGACGCCCCCCCGACGCTTATTATGAAGCTCGGAGTAAGCATGAACTTTCGACGGTCCGCGCGGATTTCTTGGATCTGCGCTGCAGCCCCCCCCCTGGCGCGCGGGGCGCGCCATGGGGCGGCGCCGGAGGCGACGCCAGGGGGCCCCAGCGCAGACCCAAGAGGAATCCGCGCGGAGCTGCGAAAGTTCATGCTTATGTAGTGCTTTCTTTTTCTGCTTCGAGAGGTCCCCTCCAACCTCTACGACATGCTCATGTCCAAGTGCCTGTTCCAGAGGCTCCTCCTTCTCCTCCTCCTTTTCCTCCTCCTCCTCCTCTTCCTCCCCCTCCTCCCCCTCCTTTCCCCTCCCCCGTCTCCCTCCCCCTCCTCCTCCTCCTCCTCCTCCGTCTCCTCCTCCTCCTCTCCTCCTCCTCCTCCTCCTCTCCTCCTCCTCCTCCTCCTCCTCCTCCTCCTCCTCCCCTCCTCCTCCTCCGTCTCCTCCTCCTCCTCCTCCTCCTCCTCCTCCTCCTCCTCCTCCTCCTCCTCCTCCTCCTCCTCCTCCTCTCCTCCTCCTCCTCCTCCTCCTCCTCCTCCTCCTCCCCCTTCTTCCAGAGGGCGAACCACACGCGGGTCACGCTGGGGGCCACCGCGGACGAGGTGCAGGTTGCCGCTCGCCAGGCCGTGGCGCAGGTGTCGGAGCAGGTCGCGGAGCAGGGCGCCCACCTGCTGGGATCCATGAAGCGCTTCTCCTCCTTCTTCGCCGGCTCCGACTCGGGGTCTCCGGGGAAGGAAAGCCCAGACATGATCGCGTCGAAAACACATCAGGACGGCAGGTTTTTGGCTGTTTTCGGCCTCGGGAGGCCCTCGCCGGGCCTCGGGACCGTCAAACAACGACTCGGGATGAAAAACCCGTCCCGGAGAAAGGGTCGGGACTTCCAGCGTCGCCGCATTGAAAAAACAGTACGTCGCATGTCTGGGAAGGGTACCCATACCTCCACCCTTCGCCCCCTTTCCCCTCTGTTGGAGCCTCCTGGGAGGCCCTCGTCGCCACCGCCGGATTCGCCCCAAGATCCTGGTCGGAGCGCACCCCATGGGGGGTCCGGGGAGCAGCGGCATCGTTAGGTCGGGCCTGTCCCTCTACAGGAGGAAAATTCAAACATAGTCAACAACAATGTTTATTTTACGTCCAAAATCCACCTGTAGGGGGACATGCCCGACTTAACGGTATCGGTGCCTTTTGGTCTCCCCAGGTCTTCGTTCTTCGAGGTCTCCTCTGGCAACGGCACGCGGCGCCCCGAGATCTGAGGGGGCGGTCGTCGGCGGCGGGAGGTCCGCGCATGCGCGTGTGCGCCCGCGCTTCCATCGCTTTCCCCGTGCGAGCCGGGGGGAGCAGCAAGCGTTCAGTCGGGCGTGTCCTTCTACTGGAGGGATTGTCAAATAATAGTCCGGGGACGATTTGTGTTTGAGTCTTCTTGCGCATTTTTCTTGACTATTATCTGACTCTTTATGTTATTTTCGTCCAAAATCCGCCTGTAGGAGGGCACGCCTGACCTAATGCAAGCGCCAGCACGACCCCCCGTGCTTGTCGACGCTTGTTGGAGGCTCGGGGTGGTGAGGCCGAAGTGGCTCGGTTTATCTTTGCGTCGTTCGCGGCGCGCGTGCGGGCGGGGCGAAGCTGCGCGAGCTCCTCCACTGCAGTAACCAGGGCCAGGTCCGCCAGAACGAGTCGTTCCCCGTCCGCCGGGTTGTGCTCGCGGGTCTTCCCGCGGCTGTCCCGCGGGTTGTCCCGCGGCTGTCCCGCGGCTGTCCCGTGGGTTGTCCCGTGGTTGGCCCGTGGTTGGCCCGTGGCTGTCCCGTGTTTCTCTTGTGTGTTGTTTGTGGTTGTCCCGTGGTTTTCCTGGGGGTGGCCATCCCGTGGTTGGCCCATGGATGTCCCGTGGTGGTCCCTGGGATGTCCCGTGGTTGTCCCGCGGTGATCCCGTGGTTTATATTGCACCACATTTGTTGCACAACGTATCCGGCCGAACATGGGTGATCTTTTTTACAAATGAAGTCGGATCTGCCCCGCCCCCCGGGATTGCCCCCCCGCCCTGGGGAGGTGCAGTTTGCATGTGCTTGTGCTCCATCGTTCAGTCATCCTCCCCCCCATGATTTTCTGCAGAAGGCACTGTGCGTGCATTCTCGTCTATCAGCAATCATTCATTTTCAGGGGTCCCTTGCAAAAACAGCGAACGAAGTACACACGCGCGTGTTGTCGCGCGCACATGCCGAAACCCGTCGCACACCTTAGGTTTCGCAAGGATTTCAAAAATGAGTATCCCGGTACATCAACACCACATGGTTTGGCAACATCCGGTTTCGAACAACGTTTGCGCGCGGTCTTGCAAGTTCTTAAGGGAACCATCGGTTTTTCAACATGTTCATCACACGCGACCATACGGGCCTGTCGCGCGCGCATGTCGCAATCATTCGAACGCTCTTGCGCGCGTGTTGGGGGGGTGGCGCAGCCCTTGTCAAAAGGTACCATGCGGGCAACTCGCGCCCGTTGGCCGCGCGCGCATGTCGAAACCCTACCAAACATGTCATGACCAATGCGTGGACACCACCATCGTCATCGGCGCGATTAAGATTGGCGCCGTCATTTGCCTTGCTGTCGTCGTCGTCGCCGTCGTCACCGGCATCGCTGCAATCATCCTCGTGTCTGCCGTTGCCGACGTCGCCATGATACCGCGCCCGCCCGCGTCGCCGACTCGCGCTGAAGTGCCCGCGCGTCAGCGCGCGTCGTCGCGCGGACGTGCCGAAATCCTTCAGCAACCCATTTGTCCGTCAGAATGTCAAGAGCGAGCGTGTAACAACATATAACACACATGCTCTCGCAACGCGGATGTTCAAAAAAGGCTCGCGCGCGTTCTTGCTAATTCTTGCAGAAAAACATGTTGGGACGATATATATATATATACATATACATGTTTGGAAAGAGCTACGCGCGCGCGTTTCGACCTCGCGCGAGCGCCCTTGCGCGCGCGCTGTCGCGAGGATCCTTATCTTTGTTGTTAGAAAGAGTGGACGCGCGCGCGTTGTCGCGCGCGCGCGGGAATCCGTCAACAGCTGTCGGTCTCGCAAGGTCTTCAAAACCCCGAGCCCCGAAACCATATAACAACATGGTTTTGCAACATCACTTTCGAGAAATCTTGCGATCGCGCTCTGGCGAATCCGTAAGACAAGTACAGCTCTTTCAACGCTTTCATGGAATTCTACAGAGCGGGTCAGTAGCGCCGCGTGCCGAAATCATTCGAACGCCCTTGCGCGCGTGCCGGAGGGGGGGGGGGGGGGGGGCGATCCGCATCAACTGATGCCACGCAGCTCGCTCTCGCGCGTCGGCCGCGCGCGCGCGCGTCGAACTCCTTCCGACGCCTGCGTCGCCGACGCGAGGGCGCCGTCATCGTCGTCGGCGCAATCGGCATCGGCGCCGTCACAGGCCGCGCCGTCGTCGGTGTTGACGTCGCCACAAGCATCGCCGCAATCAGCAGCGCGTCTACCGTTGTCGACGTGCCCGCCCGCGTCGCCGACTCGCGCTGAAGTGCCCGCTGGGATGTGCCCAGAGGTCAGCGCCGCCGCGGCTGCGTCGGTCGCGCCGAACTAGCTGGCCGCTGCGCGCGCGCGGATGCGCAGGCTGGCGCGGCCGCAGAGACGCGCCAGCCAGCGCCGGGCGCCCGCCGCACTCGCCGCCGCGTGGCTTCTGCAAACAAATTTGCGGGTGGGTGGGCGGGGCGTTTGCAAGGGCACGGAATGTGTCAACTCGTTTTTGAAAAAAACTGCACCGCGCACGTAGCACCGCGCGCATTCCTCTACAATTATTGCACCACGTAGATGGCTAACAACACTGCCTTGGGGGGCCGCGCTGGCTGACATCGCGATTGCGGAGCCGATCGAATGGCAATCAAGCGTCTTGATGCTAGCCAACGTGGGCTCCCAACAATTGGCCATTGCAATATGTGCGGCGCGCTGCGTGTGGCGCAGTGGCTTCGAAGCGACCTATGTATTGCTGTGTGCGCGGTGCAATCTATACGATGCAATCTACGCGGCACAATCCACGCGGTGCAATCGATGGAACGCAATGGGTTTTAACAAACGAGTCGACGCATCCCTCGCCGATGCAAACATCCCACCCACCCACCCGCAACTTGGTTCGCAAAACCCACGCGTGCTTGCGATTTCGTTGGCTGGTGCATCTCTGCGGCCGCACCAACCTGAACGCGCGTGCGCAGCGGCCAGCTAGTTTGGCGCGAAGGACGCGAACTTGGCGGCGCTGACCGCCCGGCGCATCCCAGCGGGCACCTCAGTGCGAGTCGTCGACTTGGGCGGGCGCGGTATCGTGGCAACGCCGACTGCGGTAGACGCGACGATGATAGTAGCGACGCCGGTGACGATGCTGACTGCGACGACGGGGCAGCCAGCGACGGCGCCGATGCTGATCGCGCCGGCGACGATGACGGCGTCTTCGCGTCAGTTACGAAGGTTTGGGAAGGAGTTCGGAATGCGTGCGCGGCAGACGCGCGAGAGTGGCCCGCGCGGCATGAGTTGACGTGGATCGTGCCACCCCAGCACGAGCGCGAGGGCGCTCGAACGATTCCGACATGCGCGCGCGAAGCCCGTTTGGTAGCATGTCATGAAAATGTTGAACAGCCAACGGTTGTCGCAAGAATTCGCAAGTGCGCACGCACAAGTTTTCGGAGGAAAGCCGCATTGCGAGGGATTATTGAAGAACTTTTGATTTTTCAAAAGGCGAGTACGCACGCCCGTTTTTTTTGCAGAAGATGGCGGGGGGGTCAAATCTGGCTGGGCTGGGATGGTATGAGTTCATATCTAGGATGGGCGACGGGGCAGACCCACGTGTAAACTGCAGCACAAAATGGTGCGCTGATAAAGCCGAGGGGGGGGGGGGGGGGGGGTAGACATCCATTCGCTTTATAGGATGGAGAATCTACGCGGCGCAATCTATGTGGCGCAAGATTATCGCGGCACCTGCGCAATGCAACCTATGCGGCGCAATCTACGTGGCGCAATTAACCCTTCCGAACTTGAAGTTGCCAGCTCCGCTGCTCGCGCAATCATGCCAGCCGCCCCGACGACGCCGCAGCCAGTGGCGGTGCCGATGCTGATCGCGCCGGCGACGATGACGGCGACCTCGCGTTGGCGACGAAGGTTTTGGAAGGAGTTCGACTTGCGCGCGTGGCCGACGCGCGAGAGTAGCCCGCATGGTACGATTTGGCACTGATCAGCCCCCCCAGCACGCGCGCGAGGGCGTTCGAATGTTGTCGGCGTGCGGCGCCAGAGGCCCGTTTGGCAGAATCCCAAGACAATCTTGAAAATCCGATGTTTTCTTATGTCGGAAAACAGTCGCGTGGGCACGAGCGCAGGCTTCTTTGCAAATGAGTGTTGCGAAAACATGTGTTTATATATGGTTTCGCGATATTCGGTTTTGACGCCCTCGCGAAACATAAAGTTTTTGCAGGGGGGTTTTCGCAACAGCACGCGCGCATGTGCGTTGGAACGATTTCGGCATGCGCGCGGTCGAAGACCTCGGGGTGGCATTGTTTGATCGCAAAATGAAGAAACATTGTTCTGAAGAGGCCGCAAGAGCGCGCGCAAGCTTTTCTAAACATCCGCGCCACGGAACTCTTTGTCGTCGCATGTTCTTTGGGCACCAACAAGGTTTTTGAAGGATGCCGACATGCGTTCGCGACGACGCGCGCGTGTGTGTATTTCGCAACGTTTTTGCCCAGGAATCTCAGCAACTGATGATCTTTGATAAGCGAGCGCGCGCACATAATGTGTTTAGCAAAGGATGGCGGGGGGGGGTGAATCCGGCTGGGCTGGGGTGGTATAAGCTCATAATTAGAATGGGCGATGGACCACCGTCATATGCAAGTTGCAGTGCGAAGAGGGGGGTATCTCTGGGGGGAGGGGTGGAGCTGTTTCTTGCAAGAGAAGAAAACAACGCGGTGAAATTTGCGCGGCAACCTATATGACGCAATCTACACGGTGCAATTCACATAGTGCAATTGATGCAAACAAACGAGTTGACACCTCCCATGACCTTGCAAACATCCCACCCACCCGCAACTAGGTTCGCACAACCCATGCGATGGCGATTGCGATGCATGCTTGGCGTTGGCTGCATCCTTGCGAACTCTCCAACCCTAGCACGCGCGCGCGGCGGCCAGCTAGTTCGGCGCGACCGACGCAGCCGCGGTGGCGCTGACCGCTGGGCGCATTCCCAGCGGGCACTTCACTGCGAGTCG